CAAGGGTGGTGGTGGGGGATGATTTTCTTTGCTGGCTTTTTGGGTTTTCTCCTGGTCTTCGGAGCATGAGCCCGTATCCCATGGTGACCTGACCCTGAAGCCCCAGCCCCTCAGCTGCAGACCCCCCACCCTGAGAAATCTTAGCTCGCCCCCGCCCTGACCGTCACCCTTCTACATCCCTCTTCTCTAGTAACCTCGCTAGCACCCGCTACAGTAAACTGCCGGCCGAGGAACACCCCACCCTCCTCGGGCTGCTGCCCCCGGGGCAAAGCTTCGGGAAGACCAGCCGAAAAATCAAGCAAGAACAACACCCCCTTTCCTGCTGAAAGGGCCCCAGACTCGCGCGAAAGGGCCCCGACTACTGAGAAGCCCCTCCCGCCCTTGCCTCATCTTTCCGACTTCCCTGCTTGCCACGTCTCCTTTCCTTCCTAGCAAGGTCGGTCCTGGCTCGGTGACCCCTCACCCGCATCTCTTTTTCCTCTTTCTGCCCTTCACCTACCGCCCCCCACCCCGGCTCCCAATTCGCCCTCTTTCAGAAACCGAGTGTGGAACCCTCATCCATTTCCAGCTGACAGCAGAGCCTGGTCTGTGAGTCCTTGACACCCACACACCCTCTTTCACCACCGCGGGGAACATCAGAGATCTCGGTGGGGGGGAAGGGGCGGGCAGCCCAACAGGCGCCGCTGGACACCCTCCTTCGCGTCCCCAAGCCAGCGTAGAACCAGTGCAGGCACTTACCTAGCTTCCCCATAGTCACCTTATGCTGTGGCTCCGTCTCTCACACCCACAGACGTGCTTTTCCAAGCCTGAGCACGCTCTCGGGGTCAGCTGGGTGGGTGGGCACAGCAGGCTGAGGTCATACGAAGGGGTGGGAGGTCCCTGTGAGGTGCGGAAAGGAACTGTGTCCTGGACACCTTGTAGCGCCAGAGCCAGCCCAGCACTTCACTTCAAGGAGCTGCAATGTGCACACAGTAGGTTCTTGAGAAATGCCGAGTCCACCCCTGAACAAAGCCTCATTCCCAATTCAAGCGGGGGAGGGGCGCTTTGGGAGGTAAAGGAGCAGGAGCAGAAAGGGTAGTGTCAAGTCACCCGAGCCTGGGAGCAGCCGGGGAGGGGCTGGGCCCTGGAACGCCTAGGGCAGAGAAGCGCCCAGAGTGCTGAGGAAGCCTGGTTAGTAAGCAGGAAAAACCGAGCTTTAAACAGTGGCTTAGGGGGCTCCTCCTGCACTATACACGGTGCCCGACCTTTCCCAGACCACGCTGCTGAAGCACTGACCCAGGCAGCTTTTACGGTAACTAAGGCTGCCAGCTTCTGTGGCTGGGGAGTAGCCTGCTTCCCAAGAAAAAAAAAAAAAAAAAAAAGACAGTTAATTTGCCTCCAGAACTACCCCGAAGCCCCCACACTGCCTAGCTGATCTGCAGGACATGGTTTACCAAGGCTGTGCTAAACCGTGGTGCACAAACTTGCCAAAGTGCCAAATTCTCTTAGGACCACTACCCTTACTTCTGCTTCCCATCCTTAGGGAAGGCAGAATCCCAAATCTTGGAAAGTAGGACACTGAAGAACTTCTCCCTTCCCTGAGCCTCCCAAGGCAAAGAATCCCAGCAATCCTCCCCCAAACACATAGGCCAGCTAGCTCTACTGTCCATCTCACAAAATTAGCTCATCTCCTCGGCCAAGTCCATTATTAGTCTCATGGTAGATCTCAGATCTCATCAGATCGGGAGTGGAGAGCACCTATGGCCACTGAAGCTTCGGAAGGTTGAAGCAGGGGAGGGGATGAGACAGCCTCTGACATAGCTGCTTTGTCTCTGATAATGGGGGGATTGGGACTGAGAATGAGGAAAGAACTGTAACTGGTCACAGGGAAGGAGACTCAAGTGGCAGGCCACTTTCAGCTTGGGAACTGACAGCAACATTGGTGGAGTGGGCTTGCTTCTCATTGGCACCTTTAGTCAAAACCCTGTGGTCCTAGTCTGAGAGTGAAGAGTTGACATATTTGGGAACCAGGTAGGAGGGAAGAGAGAATCCTGACTGTGGAGGAGGCAAAGCCCCCAGGAGCTACTTAGCCCAGCCTGCTCATAGCCAAAGGACTATGTCTTCAGAGCATTCCCCGTGGGTGGCTGGCTCATTTGCCCCAGGAGGCTCAGGCTCAGTGGGCTCATGGCTGGGGGAAAGGGGAGCAGCACAGGCTTGCTAAAGGCACTCGGTGTTCTTCCTTTAGCAGCCCATTGATCTCCCAGGTCCCCTTCTCTCTTGCTTTTTAAAGCTGGTCAACAAGCCAGCCAAGAGGAGGCCAGGGTTATTTTACAGGCTGCTTGTACCCCAAAGGGACCTTTTGGCCTCCTATCCTTTCACCCCATTTTCAGGAACCTCTGCATCTGGACCATCTTCCTTTCCAATCTAGAGCCTTTCTTTCCACTTCTGGAAAAGGCTCAGCTCCCATAGTTTCTTCAGTCTTTCTTTAGTGCATGCTGCTCCCATCCCACTCCACCAGAACAGCTGTGCCAGTGCCTGGGGGCTGTCACCTTTCCTCTCTCTCTGGCCAAAAAAGGGTTTGTCATTTGGTCTAGAAAGATGAATGGATCCATCAGGTCTCCACGACTCTTCCTCCACACCCAACCTCTAGCAGAGGCTTGCTGTCTACCTAGATACCTCCAGACCCTTCAGTAAGGATTAGCTGCCTTGGAGCAGGAGAGCCGAGGAGATGGATGCCTGGAGGAGAACATCCAGGGCCAGAGAGAACATGCTGCACACCCCTCCCCCACCAAGTACAACCAGACTGACAGCAGGGACAGACTGGCTGCTCTGTCATCCTCAGTTCAGCCTCGAGGCACCTCCCCCCAACTGCCGCTGCAGTCCCAGCAGACCGCCTGCCCTGAGATCCAGCCACCTGGCACGGGCAAGACACCCAAGCCCGCAGCGCAGTTTCTGTGAAGGTGGCACCGACCACTTTGACCTACCTGTTCAAGTCTCTCCTTTCCCGGTGTGGGCAGGCAGCCCTCCTCTACCTCTCCTCAGCGTCCAAATTCCAGGTCCCAGAACACTGAGCAACCTGGCCCTAAACTCCACCGTACAAGATTAAAGACTGGCTCTCTTGTGGAGGGACACCTTGGCATGGATTAAATTCGATGCCAGTACTTGCCCCCCTCTCCGTAAAATGAAGCCCCCAGCGGTGGGGAAATAAAACTGGTCTTTTATAATTCTTTTCCTGGGACCCGCTCCCTCTTTAAAAGGATCAGAACACCCTCTCCTTAAAGGGACCTCAGGAAATTATTTGCCCCCAGGCAAAGCCAAGTGTAGTACTCTGGTTTTTACCTGATGCGGCCTTTTCCCCTAGGGATGGGAGAGTCATAAGTACTCCCTTTCTAACTAAGCCGGAGGGGATGGGCCCCCTCCTGCCACCAAGAAGCCAGTTGTGAGTGCCCATCAAAGAAGAGGATCGTTTCTCTTCCCTAAGGACACCTATTGCCACAGGCTGGGTCCGGGGGGAGGGGGGTAAGGGTGAAGTAGGTAGTCTGTGTGGGACCAGTTTTCACATAAGCCGCATGCGCTCACACTTTGGGGGCCGCACGCCATGGTTATGTGTCCAAAACCCCCATCTGTCCAGCGCTAGCCTCCAGATTGCTAGCCAGGGAAGTCTTTGCAGCTGCCCCTCCCATCGAAAGCTGTTTCTGCATTCTCCTTCCCTTTGACACTGGACTTCTACCCTCGTTGGGTCCCCTGGCCTTCCCCTTAAGCTGCATTCTCTACCCCTCACCCGAGTTGCCTCCCTGCAGTGCCAACAACTGCTGCTTACACCTATTTCAGGCTCCTTCCTTCCCTAGTCGGCGTCCCTGGGGTCCGCCTGCACCCCCACCCGTCAAGGGATGGGGGATGGGCACACCTCGGCTCCCTAGAGCACAGCAAAGCTGCATCTTCTCTCCGCCGCCTACTAGGCACCTAGGTTCATCCAACCCTTAAGGCTAGAAGGTTGTGGGGGGTGGGGGACGTAAATGGTGGAGAGGGGCCCGAGGGCACTTGAGCCGGAGAGGGACAGTCATAAGTCGCATTTACTGAAGCCACCTCTTCTGCATTTTCCCTTCGCCGGTGGAGGGTCGACACTGCTGGGGGTTGGCTTTCCTGACGCTTGGGAGCCCTCCAAGGCCCCCACCCTTGTCACTCCCTGGAGGAGAGACTCCCCCAAGGGCTGGAGTAGTGAGCCCCCTCCCCCCCTCCCCCGTAGCTGCGGCAGCCGCCGGCTGAGGTCAGGCTCCACCTCCTTTCTCCGGATGGAGAGAGCCGAGGGTTGTTTGTTGTTGGGGTGTGTGATAGAGAAGGTTCGAGATCACCTGGCTGGGTGGGTACGCCTCTGGGAGTCGGAGTTGAGCCGGGTGGGCTGGGTTAGGCTGGAGCCTGCCCTAGAGGGCGAAGTACTAACCTACCCCCGCCCCCATCCCAAGGTTCGAGCTGGGCTGGGTCCGCGGCTTGGGTTCTGCACCGGTGTGCGTCCCCCTCCCCCTTGCGCTCCATCCTTTAGGGAGTGATCGGAACGTCCTTAGGCAGAGGCCAGTCGGAGAGTGACTTCCTACTTTCAAGATGCTTCCAGTCCGGCACCCGGATGGGTTGTGGGTAGAGGGAGGAGGAGACTGAAAACTTAACTTTCTGTGAACATCGTGTAATGGCTGCTGAGGAGGGGCAGGTGCCGGGGTCTGTTCTCGGGTGTGGGGCTGGGGAAAGGTGCAGGCGTTCTGACAGGAGTCCACAACCGGACCTGATTTTGCAGAGGAGTCGACATTTTTTTTGTTGTTGTTGGGGGGGGGGCAGATATCCCGGTGCAGGAAAGATGAGGACACCGGCGGCAAGGGTCTCCCCTTTTAGCATAGGTAGGGATCTGTGAGACCGGCTCAGAGTAGGACACGAAGCTGGAGAGCCTCTGGGGCCACTCAAGTTTTCTAAGACCCGCCACGCCCTGCCCCAAAGGCCTTGTGAGCATTCTAGATCATTAGAGGAAAAGAAACTCTAGGCCTGAGATCCAAAATGCAAACAGATGGAATAATAAGATGCGTTCACGCAGGGGCAGTCGGGTTGCCCCTCGGTTTCCTCCTAGCTTAGCTTTTTGGGTCTCACCTTCCTTCCCAGGTAGGAATTAGGTGGAAAGAGTCCCTCCTGGGGCACAGACTCCTCAACGATGCTTCCAGCCCTAACTGCCCACCATACCCGGGAAAGGTTTAGGAAAGCAAAAACGATTTCATTCTCCCCACAGAGGCAGTCAGCCTTGCTAGCCCCAAACTATGGTTTACTGGAACACTTAACTGAAAAAGATGCCAACATGGAGACCTACCCTATTTGAGAACTCTCAAGCCTAAAAATCATAGAAAGACCAGCTTGGTAGAAAACACACGCCTCTAATTCCATCTCTTGGTAAGAAGAGGCAGGTGATCTCTTTGAAGACAACCCGGTTTATATAGTGAGTTCCAGACCAGCCAGGTCTACTTAGTGGGACCCTCTCTAAGGGAAAAAAAAAAACATGTCAATGGAGAAAAGTGAGTTGGTTCCTCATTCTTACCCCAGTCCCACTTGGGATACAGTTACTGTGGATGATTCACAGATGAGGAAACCCACGATTAAAGCAGTAAGTGGCTATCCCTAGTTACAGAAAGGGACTTACATGTCCTCCTCTTGGCTCTTTAGTCAGTGCTCAACATCTACCTGGAGTTGTCATGCTTGCCCCAGCCCACAGCACTGCCTTCCATTTTGAAGGACATGCAGGGCCTTGTTATCTCCCAGGCATCCCCAGCTGGTTTCCACCTCAGTCTGGGTCTCACATGACAATATGCTGGTATCAAGGAAAATCCCATACTCTAGCACTGCCTTTCCCAATAGTATTTAACCTGCAAACACATTCTCTGGGCACAGGTCATGTCCTTTCATCTATTCATTTGTGAGACAGGGTATCACTGTATAGTTCAGGCAGGCTTCAAACTTTCTTTGTAGACCAGGCTAGCCTCAAAGTCGCCATTCTCTGCCCCAGTTAAAGCACTTAACTGGCTTCTGTTCAATTTATTTACCTTCCATTCTGGAGCTCTCTAGGATCTCTGCCTGTGGAATTGCTGCTCTCAAAGTCAGTCTTGACTTTCTGGAACGATCTTCAAAAGCTCAGGGTTCTAGGAAGACTTCATAGCTCCTTGCTTCTGCCTTCTGGGCCATCTGTTGCTTTATCTGGGCCTCTATAATGAGTCTATAAACACCTGAAGGGCAGGTCTATGATTTATACATGCTCTTTTGTGGTTTCCTGTGGGTCTAGCACAGTCCTGGGTCCAAGGAAACATGGCCAGTCCTTCAGCTTGTGCCCCTGGATACCTCTACCCTTCCTCTTGGAGGTAAATTAGTCTCCAAGGACAATCCAGTAAGCAAGTATTGTCGGTTTTCACAGGACTCTCAAAAAAGACTAAAATTAGAAGCCAATGCTGATTTTTTTTTTTTTGAGACTTAAAGTAAGCTCCAATTTCTCTTGAAAAAAAAAAAAAAGCAAAGGATTTGCTACTGTCGGCTCACATTCTATTGGAGTGATAGGCAGTAGGAAGTAGCAAGTGCCATCTTACAGAGTGGGCATGCTTTGGTTTCCCACAATCCCTCTTTTCCCACTTGGGGTACTTCTGAGATGTCTTAACCCTGAAGGTTTCAAGTTTGTTATTCGTAGCCATTGAATATCTAGCTATTTTGAACCATCTTGGAGATCCTTGTTGCAGGATCTCAAAGCACCTTCATTATCCTCCCAGGAACAGTACCCACAGACCAGGCTGCCGATGAAAGTAAAATTAGATGAAATTTGTGGGCTCTTCCAGGCGGTTACTTCTAAGAACATGGCATACTCTCTGGATTCTGTAGGTGCCAAGCTGTATTCTGTGGAAGATGAGTAAGTGATTGGTAAGGAGCATCTCCATGAGTGAGAGGAGAGAATCATTCCAAGAAGGGTGCAATGCCTGTGATGAACTAGATGCTAGTTGCTCACAACCTTACTCTCCGGGGTCAGCACCTTCATTCTTAGCAGACACTTGTCTGCTCAGATATCACAATGGAGCATGTAAAATGAGACTTCTTTCCTGAAGTACCCTGATGGAGGCTGGGGAATAAAAAAAAAACAGGGTGCATAGCCTGTGCTTCCATGGGTACAGACCTATAGCTCCTGGAAAAATGAGGAAATTCAGATCTGCAATAGGTATTATTTTCAGAGCCTCCAAAACCAGTGGTGTGGCAGAAGGCATGGACAAGCACTCAGTGGGCTTCTTTATTTAACACTCAGCAAATCCTGGTGGTAATTATGCTCAAATTTACAAATGAACAAGAAAACAGAAATGTTAACAATCCGAATAACCGCCGAGATCACTCACGTTTGGGGCAATTGCAAAACCTTTTTTGTTTGTTTGATTTCGATATGGCATTTAACATAAAGGTCAAACAGAAGTCAAATCCTTTATAGATCTTTGTTTTTATTTATTTTTTTCTGTATTTCACATAGTGTGGTTGTTAAGAATACAAGCTCTGAAGACAGAGTGCCTTTGTAGATGTCGTAGCTCTTTGTCTTCTTAAAACATTTCAGGGTTTTTGAACAGTGACTGCCCTAGCCAAGTGCCCCCAAAGCATTAGCAAAATTGTGGATCTATTTATCCTGTCCTCATCCAGCAGTGCCTACAGCCTGCTTTGCTCTCACTGAGTCCACCTACATCCTCTGCCTGTACCCTGTGGTCTCCCATCTGGATCCCAGCTACATGGTGCTTATAGCTGTCTTCTGTCTACCCAGCTGCAACATGTTCCCTTCTGGCCTTAGTCAGACTGTGTGGCTTCTTTTGCTGCGGGTCAGGCTGGCCTCTCTATGGCTTCCCTACTCCACCATCCAACACCAAGACTGCTTTCATGGCCTCAGATCCTCTGCATTTGGCAAGATTCTCAGTGGCAATCCTAATCTCATTCCTCAGAGGAAGTGGTGGTTCTCCCTCTAGGCTTTCCCACCAATCTCTCTAGCCTTCCAAAACCCAGAGCAGAGGGAGAATCATCCAAGTTTCTATTGCCATCTCCCCTCACCTCAGAGAACTTGCAGTAAGAGCCAGAATCAGTTCCTGCCAGTAGAGACTAGTCTGGGCCACAAATATTGTACTACCTAATGGGCCACTTGTACAAGGCGCTGTTTGGGCACTCAGCTCCTTCCTCACCTCTTTTAACCATTC